CTCTCTCTCTCTGTCTCTCTCTCTGTCTCTCTCTCTCTCTCTGTCTCTCTCTCTGTCTCTCTCTCTCTGTCTCTCTCTCTCTCTCTCTCTCTCTGTCTCTCTCTCTGTCTCTCTCTCTGTCTCTCTCTCTGTCTCTCTCTCTGTCTCTCTCTCTCTCTCTCTCTCTCTCTCTCTCCTTCCTTCTCCTCCTCCCCCTCCTCCTTCCTTCTTTCCCTTCTTGAGACAGGGTCTCTCTTATCTAGCGGGCCTGAATTTTCTGTCAGCTAGTCTGGCCTCAACCACGCCCAGCCCCAGCCTGCTTTCGTTTATAGCCCTGGACCAGTTTCCCAAGGCTGGCACAACCCAGAATGGGCTGGGCTCTCCCATATAAGTCACTTACCAAGAAAATGTACCACAGGCTTGCCCACAGGTTAATCTGAGTTGGGACTTTTTTTCAGATAAGGTTCCCTCTGTACAAATGACTCTAGCTATGCCAAGCTGACATTAAAAACAGGCAGCACAGTTTCCATTAAATCATCTTTTCAAGTTTAGAGAGGGTTTTTTCTTTCTTTGTTTTGAGACAAGGTCTCATGTAGCCCCAGTTGACATCTGATTCAGTATGTAGCCAAGGGTGACCTTGAACTTCTCATCCTTCTGCATCATAAATGATAGGATAATGAAAGGATGCCATTATGCCTGTTTCCTTGGTAATATTGGCGATGATCCAAACCAGGGCTTCTTGCATGCTAGGCGAGAACTCTGCCAACAGAGCTACAGCCTAACCTTCAAATTTAATGTTTGAGATTACTAATGCAGCAATTGGCATTCATATTTAATTACCATTTAAAACATACCTAAGGCATGCATGTAAGTATAAATTTCATATGCTAAATTTGTACATCACTTACCTGTTTGCTTATAAACTGCTAATTCTCTTACTGTTTCCACAAACTGCCAAAACTTTTCATTACTTTCTTCTGCCATAAATTCACTGTTAAAAAATAAAAGAAAAATTAGTTTAGCTAGTATAAACTACACTGTAGAACAAAATAATATTTTATTACAAAACCTCCAAAGCTTTTCCTTATCATTATTGACAACTTAGAAATGTGTAATTTGTTTTTCTGTCTACATGAAATACCACTAAGGTAACAAAAATAAGAACATTAAAGGTAAACAGTAAATGAAGAAATCATCTACTGTTCACCAGCAAAACTGGTACTATAAATACTATACAAAAGTCATATATAGGACCCTATTGCTGAAGATACCAAATACTTTGATCACAAGACATGGAGAGATCAGACTGCAGGCTATTTGGGGAGAAGACTCGTCAAGTCTTAACCATAGGTGATCTCTGCACATAGACTGTGTCGTTAACACCTCTCTTCAAGTCCAGGGGACGCTGTAACACAGGGCAGAGGAGCACTGCTGTGAAACTGACTTCTGGACACAAGACCCCTGACCTCATGAGCTCACAGCAGCTGTGGCTGTCTGCGTAAAACCTGTTCAACATCAAGGGCAGGGCTCCTGGTATGCTGCCACGTGGCAACATATAGATGAAGAGAAATGGGTTAATTTGAGACAAAAGAGCTAGCTAGCAAGAAGCTGAAGCCATAGGCCATACAGTTTGTAATTAATATATGCCTCTGAGTGATTATTTTAAAGCGGCTGTGGGATCTGGATGGGAGAAATTCATTTCCACCTTGGGGCCAGGCAGGACCAGAGAATCTTCTGGCTACACTGATGCCCAATGTGGACCACAAGATTGTTCAAATTTTAAAAAAGTCTTATAATAAAAAACCCTGAGCCAGATACTGGGGTGAAAGTTCAAAGATCAGACAGGCAGAACAAGCCACAGCCACCACCTCTTACCACACCAGCTCATCAGCCTGAATAAGCTTCCTCAGCTTAAAAGCCTCTAGCCGAAAGGGACACTTCTGCTGAAAAGCCTTAGTTCCTGTCCTCACGCCTTATACAACTTTCTCTGCCCAGCCTTCACCTCCTGGGATTAAAGGCGTGTGTGCTTGCTAGTACTGGGATTAAAGGCGTGTCCCACCACTACCTGGCTCTGTTTCTTTCATAGACTGAGTCAATCTCATGTAGTGCAGGGTGGCTTTGAACTCACAGAGATCCAGATGGATCTCTGCCTCCCGAGTGCTAGGATTAAAGGTGTGTGCCACCACTGCCTGGCATCTGTATTTAATCTAGTGGCTTGTTCTGTCCTCTGATCTTCAGGCAAAGTTTATTAGGGTACACAATGTATCACCACAGGTAGGAGACACTGTGGATAAGAAGAAGCTATAATAATTTAGTCAATAAAAATTGTTGCATAGCATCAAATAACTAGAATGTAACATAAGGTGATGAGGTTTCGTTTTAGAATCGCTGCATGTTGTTTTGTAAATACATAAAATAGTTACAAAACGTTGTGCCCAATAGAAAAAAAAATGAGACAAAGTCTCCCTTTTGTAGCCTCAGGCTGGCCCCAAACTCATGAATTTATGATCCTCCTGCTCCTCAGGGATGGCAAAGGCTTGCTACCATGAGCCACAAGAGGCAGCATTTCCACTTCTGTTTGCCGGAATATGAATGGACAAAATCTACTATCTACGTGTGCTTTCTGCACGGGAACTACACAGAATGAGTAACAAATCCCCTTAGACGAGATGGGGGGGGGGGCGGGCAGTGGGAGTATCGCCGAAAAGCTGCCTCCCCACCATAAAAACTTGGGGACGAGACACGACAAAAAGGTAACTAGAAAACTGGGTGCTTCAAACACGATCTGCTGACCAGAACTGACATCGAGCGTTTGCATTTAACGCCACATTCCGCCTTCCAGATCCGCAAGACCCGCAGGGACACGAACTGGGACGGGGAAGTTTTAAAGATCCTAATCGCGCGCGCGGGGGTGGAGGGTGGGGCGAGCGAGTGGCAGAGATGCGTCAAGTGACTGTCCGGAGCAGCGAAGCAGTGATGCTCCGGGTGAAGGGGACACCGAGGGAGCCAGAAGCCACCGGATCAGAGACGCCCAGGGATGCCCGACCTGCGGGGACCCCGTGGGAGGCGCCGGGCGGGGGCTGTGCAGACGCGGGAGTCCCGGAGTCCGGCAGATCCAAGGGGGCGCTGGGGTAGGAGGGGACGGCGCATCCGAGCGGCGTGGGGCCTGGGCGGACCGCGGTGCGAGCGGACGCGGGGCTGTGCAGCTCGGGCCGGAGGGGCAGCCGCCAGGGTTCCTCCACCCGCCGCCACGCCCCGGCCTCGGCGCTCCGCTGGGCCCAGGCCCCGGGGCACCCACCTGGCCTCCA